CTACTAACAACATTAAAACTATGAATTATTTAACCATTGAATAAGTTGTTATTAATGCTTAAAGGCATGTTCATTTAATGCACTTAGGTTTATGGTTACAATATAAATGTAAATTTCTAGCACACTACATCTAGATTAAGTTATAATTATATATCATATTACGTAGGCTAGACTTTTTTATACCTTGTTTTGTGAAATATTATTTTAAAGATCGTCAGAGGGCGGAAAAAATACAAATTAAATTTTGTTTTCTTATTTAGCAAATGGTTTTGCCAAAGCCATCCAGATGGATGAGAAAATAAAAATAAAATGTTACAGTGTTGTAATGGGATGGTTAAATGCTTTAAACTTATATGATTAGGAAGAAATATACATATCGTATTTTTGGAGATTTCAAGGCAGCAGCATAATAAAAGGAAAAACTTTAATTTTTTTTAAATTCCAGTTTTTCGTGGCAGTGTGTATGCTAATTGGCCAGAAATATAAATTATATTTTTATTTGAAATCATCATTAGCCTGGTTCTCGCGAGAGCCCTAGTATCCGAATCGGGAGCTAACCGTTAGCGCTAACTGTTAGCACCTGTGTGAGAACGGCCGATCGGTTAGCGCTAACCGTTAGCGGTATCCGGATACCGCTAACTGTTAGCAAGCACTATCGGTTAGCAAGTGAGCACGTTTCTATCGTCAACCAATCACACGTACACATTTACAATTTCCAGTTCCTTATTGGCTAGTGATTCGATCATCATATTCTTGGTATCCGGATCGGGATTTTCTCGTATGGACGAACGGCAGCTAATGGTTAACAGGATCCGGATCCTGCTAACCGTTAGCTGGCATGTGAGAACATAGTCATTATTTTCAGGCAGCGGTACGCCAAACAAAGTATAAAAACGTCTCGCCTTAACACATTGTATAAACACAGTTCAATATGTTAATTTTAAGTCAAGCATTATTGCCAAAGATTACAAGAGTAGTTAAAAAATATATTCAAGTTCAAGTATAAAAATAAAATAAATAGAAAAAAATAAAAATAAAAATAAACTACAAAAATAAGTATAAAATAGCTTAGTGTTTCTAAAGCTTTTCTTGCAGCCATAGAAAAAAAAGTGTTTATATTATTCCTTTATTTTCTGTATTTTTCAATATATTCCTCTGTTCCAGGTTTAATTATTTATGTAGTAAAATAAAATAAAAACACAAAGATACCTGTACATATAAAAATGTACTGTAATACTTACAGTATTTCAATAGCGAAAGAGCTTTAATTTCAGCTTCTGTATTCACGACCGATAGTCTGTTAATGAAAGGGAAAACCAAAAATATCTTTTGCTTCAGTAGCGAACAACATCTGCATCCAATCAGCAAATCATTAGAGAATTCTCCAATCATCACTAATTTATCCAATGACAAAATTAAAAGACACGAATGCTTGCAAATCGGAGAGAAAAATTTGCAGTGAAGTGCTGACGAAGTAGGCTACTCAAAGGAATACAGTATACTTATTTTAAAATATTTGGATATATCACTGATGTTTTCAATCCTCTAATGGCATCATTCGACTACATAAAAATCGTCTAGATAGTTATTTAACCTTGAGTAAGGGTGCTGATAGCACTTGAAACATTGGGTATGTTTATTTCAAACGATACTGTTTCAATGTACACGAAAACTCAAATCAAATAAAAATCCTGATTACAGTACTTCAATCTGTAATCTTGTGACAATCTATATAAAATATCGAAGTTAAAACCAATATCAACATTGTACACAGGAATTTCAGATATTAAATATCTGTCTCAAGTGTTCAGATTACATATTTATAAGCAATCGTTTTGATATATTTTATATTTCAGCCTACGTGAATGGAAAACATAGCTTTATTATAAGAGGCTACATCAGGTTAAATCAAATAGTTAAGTTTAAAACCTGGAATTTATATCAACCACACCCATGATTTTGAAGCAAAGCACCCCATGCTACTAAACCGCTAATTTATCTAATGCTAAATAAATTTGTATAAATGTTAACTGAAAATATGAGAAATTATTGTATATTTAGATCTACTATAAAAAACATTTTAAAATTCCTTGTGTTCTTACCATTAACTGCAGCTTTCCAATCTGATTCCTTTTCTCAATTTGACTTCAGCAAAATCTCAAACTACTACAGTGTTGACACAAATCTATACCATACCACCAGAGAACTGAAGTCAACTAATAGATTTTGTCAATACACACAAACCCAGCCACATGCAGGCTTAACCTTTTGTGTTCTGTCACAGCTAAATAGAAAACACTTTTGAAAAACCTTTTGTGGAAAATACTTGCGCATTAGTAAATCAATCCAGGAAACAACACTACAAATGTAAAATTCAAATTCAGGCAATCCTGTTACGCATCACTCGCACTCAATTGTGTTACTCAATTGTGGGTTCTTTTAATTGATACGATGGAGGAGTAAATCCAAGGTACCACTGCATGCCATACATGATGAACAATACTAAACATGCCTCATCAGGATTATGACTTTACATGGCTTTAGAATGTATTGTAATAACACCAAATACTGTAATCACGTAAATGGAAAAGTAAAATTTGTAAGTTACAAGTCAAGGACATGCTAACTCAGTTCCTTAAGCAAAAGTCCAAACTTACTGGTCACTCAGAACACCCTCAAGGTTCACATCAAAGCCCTTATCAAATTTTGGAGATTCATGAAAAAATTTACTATTTGCTATTTAAAAAACTATTATTTTCAAATCCCAGACGTGAAACTTGCAATTTACAACACAGGTGGGCAAAGTGCGGCCCTTAGTGATTTTTTTGCGGCCCGTGAAAATGAATTAAAAACCCTATGTGTGCGGCCCGCCAAGCAACGTTGGCCAGAAAACACCTTGTTTTTATGGCCCGACACCGATCATATGTAAAAAGTAAAATAAAACTTAAAATAAATTGGCGTAAATGCAGTCCTTGGAGGTTTTTGCAAGCACACTGGAAACAACAAAGTTTGGGTGCGGCCCTCGGTGTTGAACCAAAAATTCACTTTGATTCTCTGACCGATTTTTATGCCCACCCCTGATTTACAACCATACATACCAGTAGAATTTTAAATAAAAGTAGGCGTAATAATCGTAGCAGAGAATCACTTCAGGGCAGTCTGAGCGCAAAAATACTGTATATGATCAGATGCAGTAATAATAAAATCATCGCGTCCTTTCGCGTATTTTGCCACTTCTTGCCGGAGTATTACCTGATTCAGGCATGTCTACATATAGAGAACAACTAGGAAATAGGTGTGATATTCATAGACCAAAAGAGAAAGTATGTTTCCTGTTTTCTTTCCTCTATTTCTTATGTGAACAGGGAAATAACGTTTTCCAATGGGCATCAGTATTTCGAATGCATCAAGAATGAATCAGTCAATTGATTGGATAACACCTTTGTATCATCAGTGTTTTATACAAGCTTGCGTTACAAACCAAATATGCAAATTTTCATCTACTATGCAATAGAAGAGATGTTCACATGCATGGGCATTCAATTCTTTAGATGTTGTATAGTGGACGGTCCAGGTTTGAGTTATGTATTAGCTTTATCAAAGATTTACTTATATATATAGGCCTATTACTGTATTTGTTTTTAATTTCACTTTTTCACACGGGCCAGATTTAATAACTCTGAGGGTCAAATTTGGCCTGCGGGCCACCTATAATAACCAGGGAGCTATACTCCTGTTTAAACAAGGAATACAAAAAAGTAGCTATAGCAAGGTCCATGAAATAAATCTCATTTTCTATCAAAGAGAAATGGATAGTTTGCAAAATTACTATTGAAACTATAATTATAGTCTACAGCTAAATAAACTAGTATACCTTTTAAATTATTATATATAATATGCCTCTTGCCATTGATGTGCCATTTAGCCTCAATGGTTACTCCCTTCGACTTCTCTCCTGAGAAAACCAACATCTGTATACCTGGAGAGAGTTGTCAGTATCATTTTTTCTATACCATATGTAGGTCTGGTTAAGGCCTACACTATACAAACTAATCTTATTATTGATTGATTTCAAACTTGGTTTAATTATTAAGTTTTGAACTCCAGGGTCCACTCATAGTAACAATGAAGTAGGCCCTCTACAGTTTGACATTTTAGTCTTTCAGCTTTTACTGAACTTCTCCCCTCTAATTCTAGAAATGACAACACTATTGAATGACATGGTTTTTTAAGTCAAAAAGTAATAAAAGCTCAAAAACTCTATGTGAATGAAATAAGTAACTAAAACATCTGTATTTATAATAACTGCATAACTACAGTATGGTATAATTATAACATTATGAAATAAAAATCAATAATTAATATAAATTTTAATCATTTTAATTCAACTAATCATCAAATTATATAATACAAATAAAGGTTGAAATGCATAAAAAAATAACCCAAAAATATATTTAATGCAGGGATTGATTTAATAAACTAATACATACATCAAGTGTCTTAAAGAGTAAGTCCTATGTGTTTAGTGATTAAGCTTGCATTCACCTTGGTAACTCTTCAAATGAGTTTTCCAATCAGTAATTGGCTATAATGCATAATCATCCCGAGTTCTCAAAACATGACTGGCTATGATGTATAAACATCTTGAGTTCTTCACTCTGTGGTTGACTGTGATACAAACATCCTCAGCTCTCCACCTTGTGAATTTGGCTGTGTGATGCAAAATTATTCTGAACTCTCAACACTGATTGGGTGTCATGCATAACATCCTGAACTCTCCACCCATTTATTGGTTGTGATACATAAACATCCTGAACTCTCCACCCTGTGATTGGCTGTGATGCATTTACATTAAAAAATGATATCCAAAATGAGTGTAGGTGTGTGTAGTTGGGATGTGTAGGTAGGTGTGCATATATGGCTGTCACATCAACATAAAGAAACTACCACTTAAAATAAATTAACTGACACATCAGTAATCTATAACACAAATACACAAATATAGTACCTTCTTTTAATTGTCTTTTAATAGTTTTCTTACATGTATGCCACTCAATAGCACCCTGCACTGTTTAAACTCTCTAACACATGGATGCACCAAACTATGCAATGTTTTGTGTACTATGCCACCATGTGAAATGAGATCACATGTCAAAACCTCTTTATCGTGAGTCTTTGAGAAGTGGTGATGTGCCTTAATACCTTAGTGTCAAAAAATCTGACATTTGAAAGGACTGAACACAGGACCCTAGTATTTGAAATCGAGCAATTTTACCCCCAAAGTATGACTACCAAGCATAAAATTAATTTGTGAACAATGTTCTAAATATTTATTTAAACACTGATCCTCGAATAATTATATCATATAAATACAGTAGTCATATATTTACTAATAGATGGCTACTATAGGTTGACATGTGCTGTCTACTTTTGTATGGCACAAAGATGGAAGTCACTGATTCCAAATTTGTTCTCCACTCCACTTTAATAGTTTATTGTTCCAACGGTGCAAGCAAAGTTTCTATATTTGAATCACTGATTGGGAAAACATTATAAAGAATTTGTGTACTTAAACCTGCTGGGAGCAGACAACAGGCAGTTATGCTGTAATGTAATTACTATATTTGGGTTTCATTTTTTGAATCTTTCCACACTCCACCATTCTATTATGCTTATGTGTGCAATTTTGGTATGGCAGCTTGAGTTCTCTGGAAAGTGTCATATACAGTAAATGCCAAAAATTACTAATATGATAATGATTCAATTTATTAGTTTTCTAACATTTTACCAATATTTGTTTTAATTATTAAAAATAATTATAACTTAAGGTATATATCTGTTTGTATATTACAGAACAATTTATATTGCTATTATAATAAATTTTAATAAATTTAATAAACAGTGCAATGTTTATTTTAGATTATAAAAGCTTTCTGTGTCTTTAAGTACGATTTGTTTTTTTAATGAAAAAAAAAAGGAGCATTAATGATATTAAATATATTAAAACGATGGAAGAAACTTCAATTATAATTATTCATCTAAAATCATACAAATAGATTAATAAAGCAACAAATATTGTTTGTGTGTAAATCATAAACTTTGAGAATGTTGTGAACACAATTGATCCTTGAAACGTTTGAGAAAAATGTACTGTATTGTCCTTACCAGGATTTGAACCCAAGACCCTCTTTGATTATTGTGCTCTACCAAATGGGCTAAGAGGTTAAGTTGGTATACATTATATTAAATTCAGGGCTGTAAAAAGGTGGGTGGCCTGGGTCCGGGACTTGGAGTATTTTAGGGCTGGGCTGGCAAAAAATACATTAAAACTAGACCAATTTTCAATAGCTGATATATAAGGGCTAATAATTATTTTAGCAAAACTAGACCTTGGTCCAGCAAAACAAATTAAATATTTACAGCTCTGAAATTCTGATTTTAAAGCAGTAAATATTACTTATCTATGAATAACTCATTTTATAACTATTTGAAAGGGAGAACATTATCTATCAGTACTCCAATCTCTTTCCAAAACATGAAGTACCCCCTCTACAGTTTGAAAGCCTAAGGTTGTAGAGAAAGAATGCGAGGACTGTGTGGTTCCCAAAAAATGAAGTGCTCCCTCTATAGTTTGAAAAAGTTCATTAATATGCTATAAGGTTGTCAAATTGAATCCTGTCCATACTCTGTGATTTAACAACTGACCAATCGGAAACATGTAGGCGTAAAAAAGTGCACATCCCACAACCAGCAAATAAACAAGTTTACATTTACACATCTCAGCCATGTTTCTGTACAAATGGCTGTTGTTTTGTGAAACCTTGGCAACAAATCCAAAGAGAAGGGTAAATTTTTATAGTAAGATTTTGTTCTTGCCAATTGAATTATGTTTATAATGCAACATGTGACACCTTAAAATGCCCACTAACAAAATGCTGAAGAATGCGCCCTCATGAGTTTTCAACATCACAAAGTATGACGTAAAGAGGCTATTTGTAAACTTAGCAAACTATTCTCGGTTTTCTTGAACACGCAAAATATGTTGGTTTCATTTCAAGACGACAGCACAAAAAAAAAACTGTGCAAAATTATACATGTGCACTTCAAGGTAGGCTGGGTCAATTCGGTAGAATGTGGCAAATAACATTTACGTTTATGAGCCTCACAAATAATTTACTAATTTCTTTAAAAGTATAAAATCATGTACAGTACTCCAAGGAACTTATTTGCTTGAAAACTTAAAATAGATCTCAACAATTTTCTGGCACATAAATATCGTCTTCACTTAATTATTTTCATTAATATATGAAATTGGTATCAATAACTACGATAAATATATGTTTAAAAAAAGGAATGAAGTAATTGGCTTAATAATAGTTTATAATACAACATTTAAAACATTTTTAATATCTTTACATACTTATCTAACTATGAAGTGTACAATTTACAACTACCTGCATATAATTATTTGAATTGTAATATTATCATCATTATTATTACTATCTGAATTATTACGTGTTATTAATAAATATTTGTAATAAAAACAAAAGTATTAAATTCTTGATTAACCAGGAAGCTTCTGTAAGTGGTGGTGGGAATGCAATAGGTAGAACGGTCAAAATGTGACAATCACTAAGGCTTTTAAGGATGCATCAAAAACTACAAACTATAAATAAAAATTAATTAATCAAACCAACATATTTAACTAATTAACATCTACTATCAAAATTTATGTCTAATATAATCTGTTATATCCATAGATTAATATCTCACTTATTAAGATAATATATTTTATAATAATTTAGTTTCAATAAAGAAGTTACATTCTGACAAACAGTACATTAATAAATGTAATATGCTATGAATAACCTCTGTAAATAGGAATTTGGTTGAGTTTCTACAAATAGAATTCTAGAGGGCGACATATACATCACTACTTCTATATATGTATCTAATCATTATTTAGAAGCTCAGTAATCTCTCTAGGTTACATCCATGATTATAAGGTTGCTAAGCAACCTAAACATCAATTAACTAATTTATAAAACATCAAATGATGTTTTAAAAAGAGATAGACATAAATTATGACACCATTTTCATATTATTAGATATTAATATGTTAATGAATATGGAAACTAAATGATGTTTTAATTTTGTTTTCTATAAATTATAATTTTTGGGGAAAAAATGGAAAAAATACCTTCAAAGATTCTAGATCCCTCTAACTTATTCAGTAGAAAGATTAAAGTGAAATATATCCCTTTGTTCCTAATAATGTAATGCAAAGAAATTTCCCCAAAACTCATTTTCTTATAGTTCATTACAGAATTAGGAGAATTTAATCTTGGCTTAGTTTTTCCATAGAAAGTAAATAAAACAAATAAATATATACATACTCTATTAGCTTTATACAAGGTCACACCTATAGAGTGGGTTAACATATTAAACTATAAAGTGCCTGCAAATTTGTCAGACCTCTAAAAATATCCCAGTATTCCAGTAAAAAAAGATTTCAAATTTTTAGTTATTGCTTTATTGAAAAGCAAACACTGTGAAAGCAAGTAAAAGGAATGCACAAACCATAATTTTTTTTCAGAATTCCATTTCTTCGGTCACAGAAAAAAGGAATATACTATAACATTAATTGCCTTTTAATATAAAAAATTATGATATTTCTGAGCTACCATTCGGAGCCTTCATACCATTGTTAGTTATTTAACACAAGTAGTATTAATAATCCAATGAATATGCTTGGATCGTTAAGAAATGGTATATTTAAAAAGCACCAAGATGCGCCCCCCTCAGGGGACTTTATGCATCAGTTTCTCTGTAGTCTTGCTTTACCAACACTGCATTATCTGGAACATACTCTTCTATATCCCTGGTAAAAATGTCTGGGTAGTGATAGAGAAGAGTTGTTGTAAAGACATTTATTGACGTCAACGAAACCAACGATGTTGTTTCCTCATTCGACCAGACCAGATTTGGGCCGAAGACGACGCCAACATTAGGCGCGGACATCTTGTTTTTGTCGCTGTTTTTAGTTACCTAGAAGACCGAGTATTTACATTCTAATAAATCATGAAGTGACAACTACAAAATTAGTTGAAATGTTTTTAAAAACACTCATGTAAAAATGAGAAAATATATTAAAACCATATTTTCCTTACAAAACATTAAGATAACCATGTAATATATGCGATATTTAAATATGTTTTTATTAAGAAAACTGTCCAAGCTGTTAATACTGTTTTTTGTAAAGACCTAGCTTGTGCATTACCATAAGGTTTTGAGAGTGGAACTGTTTTCAGTTATAAGAACAATCTTGGATTTGACAAGCTTTTAACTCAAGACTTAGAATTTGAACGCAAGCTTCTTAACCACCACGCACAGGATCTAAGACACATAACCAAGCCCAATCCCCCCTTTTAGACCATTTTCAGAAAAAACAAAAAAACAAAGAAAAACAAAAAAACCCCATACTCTCCTTGCATTGGAAATCATTAAAAATATGATGAAATTCACCATGCTAGAATGCTTCTTGCTCCAGGGCAGCTTTTACAGCTAATAAACCCCACAGCAGCCTTTCCAACTAGTTTAACCACTGCATCTAGGTTCTCCCTGCAACCCTGGCTCTCATAAAGCCCCCTAACACCCTTAAAAAAACAAACCCCAGATTATGGTCCTGGCTACACTCCAGTTAATTATTTTTATGAAAAACTTAAGCTACACTTGTGAGATTTTTTTCAAAAGTATTTGGGAATGTACTGAGTAACATGTCAGTTTGGGCAAATATCACTCCTATGAAATTTCCAGTTGTAAAAAAAATCATCGATGTACCTACTGCTAGTTGGAGACCGGATGCAGAACTGGCCACTGAGCACAAGCTAGGTGGTCTAGTGGTTATGACACCAGGCTAGTTATCTGGAGGTTGTGGGTTCGATTCCATTCATTTGCAAGATTTTTTTTCCACAAATATTTTGGAATGTATTCTAGTACGGTGACACATCAGGTAGGACAAACATCACTCCTATAGAGCTACACAACTATTAAACATTTTTTTGTTTACTGTATAATTTCAAAATTTCAAAACAAATATTACCTCAACTAGTAGTTTCATAAGGTAATCCAGAATAACATAGTTTGCGTCTGGTAACTGTTCACTAATCAATTTTCTGCACATTTCAATTCTAACTTCCTCATCAGGTGTATCTGAAAAAAATCAATTGTAATAATGTCCATTCTTGTCATTTAAATTATTCATAACTGAAAACTAATTAATCAAAAATAAATTGGCAAAGCTGATACAGTTCATGTTCTCAACTTTGAGGTCAGGGGTTCGAGGTTCTCACTGTGCATTTGTCTTTTGTTCTTGGGCAAGGAACATTAAATATGTTTATTTCTCTCCACCCAGAAACATAAATTGGTACCTGGTACGATATATATTCTCAAACATTCCAAAATTTCTTCCAATTATATTTTTTTAATGTGCTATTTTTTCAAAACAAGCATACAACAAACACAACTATCGGTGCTAGCTTTCACATAGCAATCCTCAGAGTGTTCAAAGTCTCCTAAAACACGTTATAGTTTCATTGCGGAATTTTTGGGCTCAGTACGGACTCCAAAAGCATGCATTTTCTTTTAGTTTTATAGCGTATGCGAGTCCGCAATGACGATGTAACGTGTTCTAAGCAGAAACTGAAGAAAATTAAATGGGATATCAAAGTGGCAGTTTGTAGTATCAATGTATTCACTGTAAAGCTGTATGTTATATTGATACTTGACTGTATTTTCCTTATGGTTTGTAACCTCAAGCATAATTTTCAAAAAATGCCCAGTCCCAAGCAAATCCAGAAGAAACCTTAAGCAAACCAGTGTGAGACCCTTGACAGGTCTGTGTTACATGTTAAAAGAGAAATGCTTTGAAAGTGTGAATCTTCAAGCTATTAGAGACCAGGGCAGGCTAATGTCAGATCAACAGTTCATGACTGTTATAATACGAGCGGCTAAGTTCTAAAGTCTGTAACGTTGAGATTCTGGAAGTGCGTAAAAACAAGAAAATTGCATTAATCAAAGACAAGATGAAACAAAAGCATGAATGATGGAAGAATTGGTGTGTTTGAGACAGAAAACGTTGAATGATTGCAGCATTCTGAAGATAGAACTTGACCTATTTAGAAATATAGTTTAAGAGGTTTTGCATGTTAAGTGATTCATGAAGTTCAACACCAAGGCTGGTACAGAGGTGAGAATACTGATTACTCCATGATTTGGATTCACTGGAAGTGTAGAGCACTCTGCAAAATTATTGACAAAATGTGTTATTGTATGATCATGATAACATTGTGATTGCAAGTTTGCAATAATTAAATTCTCCTGAGTAACACATTGGTGATAGAATGGTGTCAAGAATAATGTTGAATCCATTAGTTTCTTTTTAACAGTCATTTACTGGCGTTTATTCTAAAGGGGTGTTTATTCCTAATGATGTTCTGGAGGGGTGGGGGTGTTAATTTTTTTTATAATAAATGCAGTAAACCTTAATATGGCTAGGCATAGCAAGGGTTTAGGTATTAGATACATTCCAATGTTTGCAGAATGATTCCAGAACCCTGGCAATGAAAAGTATTCATCCAATCTCTTAGAGCAATAAGCTTGTACAGTAAACAGAAAGGTTTTAGGCATTAAACAGATTTCAGTGTTTGTAAGATTTGATTCCAAAACCCTGGCAATAGAAAGTAGGCATATTAGCCACCAAGATGTACAGCATTTGATTTCCAGCATTTTTTGTGTGTAGCAAAAAGTGCTACGCACTTTTTGTGTTGTGTAGCAATTCCAAAATTGAGCTTAGCATTTTTTTCTACGGTAGATAATGAATGATTATTAAAGAAAAGAAATGATACTTTTCAATAAGAAAATCAGTGATGAGTGTTTATTTTTCAACACTAAAAGTATTTAAGTTACAAATACCCAGCCGCAATATCAGTGATCTACTTACAAGAATTAACATGTTTGGAACCTTGCATTTGAGGAGAAGGGGAGATTTATAGCGGACTCGATTTAATTAATTAATTAATTTCTTGTTTCATTAAATATCACTGATACACCATTTTCTACTAGAATCGCAACTGTGTTCAATTATTTGGTAAACAAATTTGAAACATATCCCATAATATTCCCTTTATTTAAATTTCCCATCAATTAAATATTCTACCAACCCTGCGCCGAAGTCGACCCGGCCGTGATTACCCATTTACCAACCATGCGACAACTGACAAGCACTGGCCATTGCTTGTCTCACTCCCACTGTCATACTGTCCTATAAACGCTGCAAGCAATGTCGTGCCGCGCTAGTATGGTACATACATGACATTAAGTAACATTACTCTTCACTGTACAAACAGGTGTGTAAGGGAAAGCGATCTACAGGAGAAGCAGAACAGAGGAGTGGCAAAATATGAGGTAATATTGTAAACGCAGAAAACAAGCCGACTCGTACTCAAACCAGCTGCATGAACAACGATGTACATGTAGCATTGTATGTGTGCACTCGATATGAACAAGCATATTGCACTATTTTTGGCCCAAAACATTGGATAACAACTTGACTTTGACTGTTTTTAAAACAATTTTCGGGACTTTTTTGTGCACCAAGCCTCTTAGTTTTTACAGCTAGGCCTTGCTGAAGACTGAGCCGGTAATTCTAGAAAAATAATTGCGTCACATTTTATTGTGATGCAACTGTGGAAGTGCTTTGCAATTAGTTTATAACGTGTCACATTTTGCGATGCAATACTGGGTCGAACGCTGAAGATATAGATCCATCCAATCTATAGAGCCACAAGCTTGTATAGTGCATGTCTATTTAAACACCTTCTGGCAAACATCGCAAAGTAACAGGTGTCATTATAAACTAAAGGCCATAATACTCCAATTGAAATTTGATGATTACCTATTAGTTTCTCTTCATAATTTATATCTGCATGTGTGTGTGTGTCTGTATGTGGGAGGGGAAGTAAAGTTAACAACTTTAGAACCTAGCATGAGTACAGCTAGTATTACAATATTATCTAAGTTGTTACCCCCTTTGTTCTTGCTTACCATGCACTTTGATAATATCATCATAGAGTTTAAAGGTCATTATAGGTTCAGGAAGTTCTCGGAAGAAAGTCTTAAGGATTAGTGCTGGTATGTGGACGTCCATCAACTCGTTGAAGTCAACTTCCTCACCTGTGAATGACAAAATAAAGGAGATAACAACATTCTACAGCAAATATCATTATTATTATATACTTGCGGTACACCATATGCTGAAATCTCAATTGACTCTTAAAATATACTAATCGAAACGCTGGGAAATTGTAATCGGTACACCTCAAGACCAAAATCGGCATCAATTGACGTTTGCATCATTACTGTATGGTGTACCGAAACTATTTTCAATTTGCAGGAAATCAATCAACAACTTTCTAAAGGTAATGAAAACTATAGACATGTAACAATAATAGGAAATGAAGCACACAGGGTTCAATTCGTGTCACGGTAACTGGATTTGTTTCTCACGATCAACAACTCCACTCCCTAAGCCTCCTACAATTTATTCAAACAGTATATGAGACATCTTGTGTTTATGTCTGTCTTGTGATGGGATATGACACTTAAGATAGTGATCAAGTTCGCCAATTGGCATACCCTTGACTTTCGGCCTAAACCAATAAAAAGAATGTGAAGTACAGTAAATCCCATGATTACAAAATAAAATATATAAATAGTAAAATGATAAAAAGTAATTAAATACTGCACAGTACATCAATTATTAATGTAAAATTTACAGCCACATCAAACCCAGATTCAATTTGTTGAAGAATTTTATTATAATGCTAATATAATAATAATAATAATATAATAGGTCATGTAAATATCATATTTTATAATTGATTGTTGGTTGAACAATGATCAGCTCATTCACTGACCAACTCAAAGAACTTACATGAATGAATGAATGAATGAATAGAGGAAGTATTCTGTTTTATATGTTTTGTTTTTCCATAGGCATTATAAATATATTTAAGGAACATAGCAATAGTTATGATCATGTAACCTGAAAGGTGATTGCCACAAACAACTTCCTTCATTACAAAGCATTGAACCTTTGATTAGTAATGAATATTTTCTGTACTGCACTCTTCTATGGCATACACCTTTTTTTCTATAAGGCCTAAAAAAAAAACTTGTTTGTTTGCCATCATCCGCTGCACCTAAAATCTGAAGAAAGAGGGGCAGGGTGTTTTTTTTTTCTTGAAAAATTTTTTATTTTTTGCGACACGATTTTGATTTTACACACTTAATAAGTAAATGAAGCTGGTGAGCTTGACCTGATACAAAGTGCAGTAGTTTAATTTAATCACGTGTCTTACTCCAATTAAAGATCACTCTTCCAATCCCAAACCACAAAAAATTAGCCCCAAATTGTAAGGAGGCCTATAGTGGACATATATTCAGTTTCCACATAAAAAAAAAAAAAAAATTATCCACCACTCATCTTCTACAAACCACCATACGGACCATTTTTTCAGCCCGCCCCTTCATATTTACAATGTGACAGCAAACCATTTTTTGTTTACTGTAGGCCTAATGGCCAACCTGGATCTTCCTATCATTAATTTCAACAAGGCTATAAAATATAAGAAAAATTATAAAAATATATAGACCTCCTTCATTTGAGCTATGTAAATCTATCTATTATTATTATTATTATTATTTGCTTTACCTGCATTAAACTTTCGATGAACTTCTGTCACTATTTGTGCATTGGGGCAACGACGGAAGACACCCTCAACCTCCAGAGCTTAAAAAATTCGATAAGAAACAATATTAGTTTGTCTACTCCATAATTTTCACATCATCATTACCAATGATGCTGCAAGTTATGGGTTATTCTCGTAAAACTTTTAATGTACACGACCAATCTGTACATCTCCATTATCATTGACAAGCTGCTTTTTTTTAGGATTTATATGTGGCTAGGGTTGAGACCATCCTTGGTACAAGATGTCCTGGTTATAACAAAGGTAGGCGTCCTACGTTGGATAAAGTTACTGCCGGGACATCTGGTTAAATAGGCTTTCCTTACCATCATCAATTTTTATTTTACTGTGCATACTCATCGCCATAAATAATTGATAACATAGTAGTAAAAACATGCAAATATCAATTTGCAGGAAATAGGTTAGAATATGTGAGCTGATGTTGATATTGTGTTACAATTTATCTTCTCATTATACACACTAGATCAATGAACTTCCAATGTTTTTTATTTTAATTCCTTTTTAATTCTCAAATATTGTATATGACATTGGTAGATACCGTTTTGTCTCAGGTGGTTTACACATTGACGCACAACCTTCGGAATAGGATCACCATTGCACTGTTCCCTCAAACTGAAAGAATAAAACACAAAAAAAAAAATATTTTTATGGAAAGTTTTGGCTAAAAAGCATGCTTTTTGTTAGCTTTAAAATGTAACAGCAAGTGGTTTTAAAATTAGACGTACTGTAACTGTTATACTCTGCAATACCCAATTTACACAATACAAAAATGTTACATTTACACAGAGCCTACACTAGGGAAAATATAGCACGGTTTCCATAGTACATTGTGGACCCTGTGAAGGCAAATCTGTAAGATAAACACCAGTTTTGTGTGACAATACATCAATGTACAAAAATATAGGCTCCCAACAGGAACATGTGTCTATTGCCTTATATATGTTTACTAAACAATCAGGAGGCCAATCTAATAAAATAATAAAACCTAGCCCGAGCGATACAAATCTTTGTTTATAACGCAATATCCCATCATGCACCTCACCGGATTTACTCCGACAAGTAAATATCCAGACGATTACTAAGTGTCTGGGGACCCCCGCTGTAAACATAAGAAACACTACTGACCCACGCTGGGGCAGTAAACACAAGAAACAGTCACGGAAGTGGCCTGTAACAATGCTTTTGAACTCAACAAACTGAAGTTTAGTTTAATCAGGTAAAGTAATCAGGAAATAGAGAGAATAAACAACATACATATCACACCATTACTATTACATATCAACCCATGAAAACATCTAGACAATTATGTAGTTTAAATTGCCATTATTACTTAAACAATGAAGACTATAATAATATAAAAAAAAATTATAGCCAAATACTATACAGTAATATATCCATGCATAAACCTACCATATTATATATTCTCGCACATGTAAGACGAGACTAAAAATAGCAAATTCCAATCAAATAACAGGGATTCGTCTTATACGTGCAACATTATGGTACACATTTTAAAAATTTAAATCATGTTCGTCTTATGTGTGGATCGTCCGTAACACGCAAATTTACTACAGATATGAATTTACTGTTAGTATGAATAAACGCAATTTTAAATGCGGGGAAATAAGGTTTTGATGAATATTTAAAAGCCCATAAAAATGGTATTTGCAAAAATTAGCCCTACATTTGGCTCTGTTTTTAGCCAGCCAGATATCAAGACCATAACGAGCAGCAAAAAGTAAGAACAGACAGAATCAGTCACTATTAACACAAAGCGGTTATAGTGGGTATGACATCAAAACAAACTGCTAGGCAATTTTTTCACACAATAATAAGCCTTCGCTCAAATAAATTTTGACAGTTTTAAAACTCCTCAAACATTTTATTGTAAAATGACTTATCGAAAAGCCTTGGTAACTATGTCTTTAATAAATGTCTTAATTTTGAACCGTCAAATTTGAAGTGGAGTGTGATTGAAAAGTTTATCATGTTTGCATAGACTCAAAGGTAGTTTTTTTTAAAGACAATAATAAGCCTCAGCTCAAATAAATTTTGAGAGTTTTAAAACTCCTCAAACTTATTTATTTGTACATTTTATTGTAAAATGACTTATCGAAAAGCCTTGGTAAATATATCTTTAATAAATGTCTAAATTTTGAACTGTCAAATTTGAAGTGGAGTGTGATTGAAAACTTTATCATGTTTGCATAGACTCAAAGGCAGTTTTTTTTAACACAATAATAAGCCTCTGCTCAAATAAATTTTGTCAGTTTTAAAACTCCTCAAACTTGCTTATTTGTACATTTCATTGTAAAATGGCTTATCGAAAAGCCTTGGTAAATATACCTTTAATAAACGTCTGAATTTTGAACCGTTAGATTTGAATTGGAGTGTGATGGAAAACATGTTTGCATAGACTCGTCACATGAACACGGGCCTAGCCCTAGACTACTGAGTCATACGAACAACGTTCTTCTGACTCATAGGCCATCGCAGTAAAAAATAACATCTTATTCTACAATTTAACAAATTTACTTTCGTCCAATAGTTTAAATATTTCATACAGAAAAACAAATTGACTTGGTGAGACAGTATTTAAGTTCAATGTGTACTTCTAAATCAACATAGATCGCACTGGTCAGCGCTGGATGTGGCGATTTCCGCAAGCGATTGGCCTAGGCCCCCTAGAAGGCTTCTCAAAACACTTCATATTTTTAGTCTGATTGGAAATCAAGTCAACTTTAGACTCATTAGACGATTTAATATACAACACTTTTGATTCCGCTCAATGCATTAGCATAGGGCATTGCGAGGTAAACAACTTAAATACCTGATCAGTGAAAATGTGATGATGTAATACTTGGCGACAAATTTGGTCTAATCCGATAGTGAAAAATGGGGTGCGGGGATGTCGTCTGATATGGCCAATATACAAAAATCGTCCAAAAACTTTCTCAAACTCAGGAGTCATCTTATACGTGGGTCTGTTTATCCAGCTACAGCAAATAATCATAAATAAGACTAAATACTGTAAATATTGAAATAATTATATTTCTTTTGTTATTAAGCCTACTGTAAATTGTCCTGATGGTATGTATTTCATTGCTATTATTACCCAAATCTACAGCATGGTGTAAGTCATATTTATTCAGCTAAGTCAACATGAGATTGACCCAATCGAACATGAATTAAATCAATATATTTCTTTTACATTCATTTACTACCAGTCTGAGCATGGAAAATGATAAAGGAAGAATTTCCACATTTTTTAGGGGAAGATGGAATCATTGAAGTTTGGAAGCAATGCGCAGATATTGGCCGATGATGGCTTTTGAAGCAAAAGAAATTAAAGTGAATTGAATATTTTTGGTGTGATTCGTATATAGGGTCTGAGATTATGCCAAGGATAATAATAATAAATAATAAAGAGTTGGTAGTGAATCGGGCGATAAGATTCTCCTTCTCTTTTCCAAAGAGCATACTGTGTTCTTCAACAAGTATATGGGCTATATTATTACATGGGATCAATGGCTAAAATACTCATCCGTAAGATGATATTCTACAGGAACTTGTATCTCATGTCTTGCTGAAACACAAGAGCAGCAGCAAAATTTTGTACCTTGCTTAAAATGATGAACAATATGATCCATTGTATAATATATTAAATATTGTTTATTGGCACTATTAATATAGCCAACGACACGATCTATTCCCAAACACAACGATTTCATTAATTAACATTTTCAACAGAAGACATTCTACGGTATGATTCTATCAATGGACAAAACATTAATTATGTGCTGCACTCTTGTGAAGGGAAAGCTTCTACATATTTTTTTATTGGCACTATTAATTTAGCCAACAACACGATATATTCCCAAACAAAAAGATTTCATTAATGGAGTTGAATAGCTCAGTGGTTAAGATGCTTGCCTTCTGATCCCATGGTCTTGGGTTCAATTCCTGTCACAGCAGCACTTTTTCTCATAACTAAAATCAACTCCACACACTCCCTGAGCCTCATAAAGAGACTTAGTTGATATGGAACCATCAATGAATAAAACATTAATTATGCGGTGCACTCTTGTGAAGGAAGCGTTTCCACATATTTGTAGCATTAACTGATCTGAGTTCCATCATTAATCATAGTCACATGACTAACAAATGACCTGATAAAATACTTCCCTGGACAGACCTTTAATTAATTCATGATTATTTCTTCAGAGATTAATAAAATAATGTTATGTGGGGGCAGCTAGCTTAGTCGGCTAAACCATGGCTAAACTGATGGTAGCCATTCTGTGTGCGCTGAACCGTTGATTCCTTGTTCAATCCAATGGCCCATGTACACGTTAAAGAATGCAGTACTGTACACAAAGTAGGGGAATGCCTCCTAGAGTACTTGCCCAATTCACCACCAGAAGGACTCCACTGGAAACAAGTCTTTAGACTTTTATGGGTTATCCTTGGTTTATATGACATCGGAGAAATCCATTGGCAATTAATGAAACTAAACAGATTTTCCAAATATAATAAATATAATAATTCTGGATTTATATAGCGCCTCACATTGACACAACCTCGAGGCGCTTAACAACAACAGAGAAGAATAAAAATTAATTAAGTTCAAATGATTGGTTTGATGAAATAAACACTAATATTGCTTTCAAAATTATAAACGTTTACTATGGTGACCATAAATTATTGTTATTACAGTTTTATTAAATATATTTTGTATGATGCTTGGTTATCAATGTAATAACTTTAACCTGAGCCTATTTCAATTTGTGTTTAACTAGAAGATGTATTTGATCATTTATCTTTTAATTTTGTAATAAGGGCTTTTTTAATATTTTATTAGGTTTTTTCTTAAACTACTATTTTTTTTAAAGCCAGCATTAAACTGTAAACCAGATTTTCATTGCCTACAAAAATCTAATCTTCTATGTTCATTACATACTTCTGTTAATACTAATGCATTAATATTTTCATATTCTGTTTTGCGATAAAAATGTTGATTATGTTGTATATGTACGCAGACAAATGTACTTTGGTTTCATATCGCACTGTAAGATCAAAAATCAATAACGAAACCAATTAGGAGATATTTTAAACCAATTAGTGAACACACAGCATTTAACCCATCAAAAGGCATGGTGTTAAAATCAATCAGTATTAAATTACCATTGTAAGGAGATCTAAGTGACTACCATACAGTGTACAATTAGGTATGATACAAACAACATACTGTAATGTAAAGCTGAAGCCACATTTTAAATGGTACCTGAAATACTTGGAAAATTCTGCTACTGTGTAGTACATGGGCAATAACGTCCAGGTCTGCATTTCAGTGGATAAACATTGGTTACAAAATTATTTTATTTTAGTTCCTTATCATTCCAGTTATGTATGTTTTATATGGAATATATAGGTGTATTATATATAGAGCGGCAGTTTGGCGCAGCGGTTGAGGTTTGGGCTTTCAATTGTAGGGTCAGGGTTTCGAGTCTCTGCTGTGCAGATTCGCTTGTGTCCTTGGGCAAGGCACTATAGCTACATTGCTTCAGTCCACCCAGCTATATCAATGGGAACCAGCAAACTGCTGGGGACTAACCTGCGATGGACTAGTGTCCCGTCCAGGGATAATAATAATGATAACTATTATAATATTAATAATATGATAATGATGATAGTTATTATTTTTGTTATGATTGTTATAATGAAGATAATGGTAATTATAGTTATAATGGTACATAATGGTGATAATAATAATAATAATAATAATAATTATAAATAATAAATAATAAAATAATAATGGGAATTTTGCTGTAATGATGGTAATAATAACAATAGGTTTTGTAGAATAATTATAATTATTATTGTTATTACTGTACTTAAATGGTGATTGTGATGACCTTGTTTTTTGCTTTTAATGACTGTTTTTGCATTTATTGTTTTTATTTTATTTTTTATTTTTTTATTTTATTTATTTATTCTTTATTTTATTTTTTGCTTGCTTTTTGCTTGATGTTGTGATGTGTTGTCTATTATATTTTATCTTACATTTTAATGATGTTTTTTTTTTATACTGGATGGGAGTGGTTCTCAAACAATTGTAATAGTAATATAGTTTACTTTAGAGACCAGGCCCTCCCATCAAGATTATTTATTGTGCAATAAAAGAATAAGAATAAGAATAAGTATAACTCTCATCCGCTTCACACTACAGAAACTGGGGATAAGCTCCAGCCCTATGAGCCCCAGTGGCTCGGAACGGATTTAGTTTTTTTTTTATATAGGTGTATTACTATTACATGAGGAAGTGATTTAGTGCAGCAGAAATTGTTTGGTTCCCAAAATGCAGAGGTTTTAATCCTTCGCTGTGAATTTCGCTTGTGTCTTTGAGCAAGGTGCTTTATCTACATCGATTCTCTCAAACCAGGAGTATTAGGTGGGTACCTGGTAGGGTTAAAATGCCAAATGCGGAGGATTACACGACTTTTGAGTTCCAAGGGTCTTTAATCCATTGACCGGGGTAATGATAATGTGCATAGTGGTCTTATCATAACATGCTTTATAAGTCTACCATTATTATAACTATAATTACACAATTTTACTGATAGCATTACTCCCCATCTCTGTTTCATTTTTCCTAAGGGTTTACTCACAATATGACATTATACTGTATCAAGAATCAAAATTGGCATTACAAGTTTACTGATCCCACCACTACTGCTGCTTTGTTAAAGGCAATTATTGCAGGTAGGCATAAACAACCACAAACAAAATACCAAATGATATGAATAACATCTGCATCCATGTGTATGTATTAAGTATAGTATATAAACATGTTAATTCTAAGGCAATATTATTTGCTACATGAATTAATAATTAGTACTAAGAATAATATTTCTTCTTTCATCTGCCTATAAAACTATGAACGTATTATGATTAACCTATCATAATTATTATCCTTACTATTTAATAATCATAGCATTCATTTACTGTCATATTTTCTTTATTTTTTACCTCGGATAATAAATTTTGGATTTTTATCTGTGAACCTAAAACTCTCATATCACTGCACCCATCAATTCACCCACCAAACCAGGATTTTTTCTCACCATTTAAAAAAGGTAGCAACAGTGGGAAATCTTGAAATGAGGGAGGGGCTTATGGGGACAATGGGGGAAGTGGGGTGAAGGTGAAGACTTGATGGTTATGTAAGAGAATGCTAGCTTCCAAAATAAGATGATATGAAGTGATTTTTACTACCTGAGTGATCGTTATTTTGTTTGCTATGAACATTTTTAATGGGGGGGGGGGAGGAAGGCGGCAAGCCTTTTTGGGGACGTCCACACCTCCCACCATGCACCCCTAGATAAAGTATGCCATTGGATAGCAAGACTATAAATTATCATCATTCGTTATTAAATACAAATATTATTATATTAAAATTACTGAAAATCATTTTAATAGTATTTATAGTATACATACTTTAAATTTCCCTATAAAAAAAATTATCAAATTCTCCCTTGAAAATAATATATTAGATATCACACTTCACTAAATATAGTTTCATCAAGACACTTAAATTGTGAGTGGTTTCTCACATGGAATGGTCTCATTGCATTGCATTACATATAGATTTCACATTGCGAGTGCTAGAACTGCATATCCAGTGTGATTTTGCATAATATATGCCATTTGTGACACAACTGCTTCGGTCCGTGACCAAGATTTTTTTGTATGTGCAGAGTTTATTTAACAAATTTAGCTTAAGTCGTTGAATGTGGAATGACAAATTGAAATGTAAGAGATGTGTGTGTATTCCAATTTGTGCAGGGTATGCGAAATGTGGGTGTGTTGGGGATAAGCTGGTTTAGGCGAGACTTTTTTATACCTTGGTTAGCCAACCTGCCGTCTGATTTCACATTAAAATAAAATTTTAATTTTGGCCAATTAGCACACCTGCCACCATAAAAAAAAAAATGGAAATTTCAGGGAAAAAAAAAGGTTTTCTTTATTTTTATTATGCCCGCCGCTGCCTTGAAATCGCCACTGTTTACATTCAAGAATAAAATTTTATTTTTATTTTCTCCTTTCGTCTGGATATTTTTTGGGGAAAAAAAATAAATTTATTAAAATTTTTTTTTGCCCTCCGACGACCACCAAGTCAACTTTTGTGTACCGTAAATGCTTGAATAAGCACCGCGCCAAACATGATTTTTTTTTAAGCGCCGGCCACTCTCGAATCAACGCTTAATCGTATAGTATAGTATAATAGTATGCCTACCGAACTACGAGAATACGTGAAATAGGTAACATGGGAACGGGCATGGAAAGTGCCACGCCAATATTTTTTTATAAGGGCCGCACTGAATCCTCTAAAAATGTTATAAGCACCGCACGCTTATTCAAGTATTTACGGTATGCATACATGTGTATGTATGCATGTATGTATATATGTTTTTATAGGATGTCTATTGCCATGTGTGTATGAGTAAGAACGTCTGTATAATATGCATGAATATTTGCATATAGAATTCTTGCCTGTATGTGTACATTACTGTAAGTGGCTACACATGTATTTGTATGTAGCTATTTATATGATGAATTGTACGGGATGTCCAATCATGTTTGTATAGGGATTTACATGTATGCAAGCATGCGCTGCATGTATGCGTTTATGTTGATGCGTGGGGATAACTGCATGTATGTACTGCGCAACTATGCATGCACGTACGCAGGTATTATTTGGAATCTGCATGTGTCTCTGTGGGATGTCTTTATAAATGTATGCAAGTTAAGCTTTGATCAGCTAGAATATTTGGATTACAAAATAAAAGCCCTGGATTACAACATAAGGCAAAAGTTCATTTAAAATATTCATCCATTCCATTACCTTTGCATTGAATAGTCCCTAACTTATAAAATATGTATTCCCCAGATGTATATTCGATGCATAACGGCACGCAATTGGTGCAGAAATAAAACATTTATTTCTAGCATCAGAGTGGTATGGAAACAATAATTAATTATATAAAAGGTTTAGTAAAGAAGGCATTTATGAGCTGAAGTTCGACATCATATTGATAATAACAATAATATGTAGGTTTTTAGATAGCACTCTATACAGAGCGCATTTTCCACATTATTACCCCAGCCATTAGAACGATGCCTATGGGGGAAATTAACTATCAATAGTAAAACATTAAATTAATGTTTAAATAAATTATGCAAATTAACAACAAATCCTCATTATGATAACTATGAGACTTTATATCATATAATATAAAAGCTAAATTTACTTAGTATTACAATTGCATTCATTATTAACACACTAACTTATAGAAACTAAATTTCGCTGTATTCTTTTCGATGTATAAATACTAATATATTCTACCCGCGACGCAATGCAAATACTTATTATCAAATATAACCTGAAGAATAATGAAAATACCTAGAGTCTAAAGCTTTGACCTTTCAGACAATGAATATAAAGAAAATATGGAACGTTCATTTCCATTTCCAGAGACTTGGGCTGAAATCTTATAAGAACAAAATTGTATCTCATGACAAATTATCTCCAACTTAAAGTGAAAATGTGATCTATCACATCGCTCTATTCTGTAATTGGAAAGTATACTTGTAGTGGATGAACTTGGATATTAAAGATTCCTGTTCAATTATCAACAAGATACACTAAACTAGATTCTATTGATGATGTAGATTAAGGAAGGAAAATAAAATTAAGGATGGATTAAGAAGATGATAATAAAATATGCATTTGATGATACATTTTATATTACTTGTTTACATTGGGAAATTAAAGGCAAAAAAACAAAACTTAGGAAGGATTAAAAAGAACAAGATTAAAAGGGAATCATTGGGGAGATGAAGTAGATCGAGGAGGAGAGAAAATTTTATCATTTTTTATTTTTAAATTTACATAATTATATTGGCAAATATTGTATCTACTCACTAAGCATCATCTCAATCAATCTTAAAAGAACTTGTACACTTATATTTCTCTAACAAAGAGTGGAGTTATAGCTTTGCAATTAAAATGCTTGCCTTTCATCCCCAGGTCAAAACCAAAATTTTGTTCACACAGTTAAAATCCTGTCTCTTATACACATCTAGATGTGTATAAGAGACAGATGTTTATCATTGTATTTTTTTTATTTGGATGGCAAAATGTGTAATTTGTAGCGGTCGTTGCTTGGCAATCCAATGCGGCTTCAATTAAATTGTGACGTATGCATAACTAAGGGAGCAGCACACTTGGGAAGATGCCTAAGAGACACACGTGTTCCTAGTCCATTAAATTAATAATAGGTTGGCGACGTAACACTGCCGTTAATCTATGCAAATATGTGCAGTGTGAGTCGCTTTTAATAGGAAGTACGGTTAGTTTGGTCACTGGACGGAAAGATTTTCTTCAAAAATAAAGTTGAATTTAATTCAGCATAATAAAAAATATACAAATGAAGAAAGTAATAAAATCTATTACAACTTACTCTTTGACAACGAGTGGTATTTCTATGGACTTCATTGGCAGAATCTCCTCAAGGTCATGGAGGAAGTAAATGTAATTGATCTTCTGTCTGAACTTAGAACTTACGATGGGTTTGAAGATACCAAGTAAAATTCTTAGCATATATGAAGGATGTACAAAGTATAATGCCTTCAGGTTTTTCTTGTACCTTAGAAAATATAAGAAATAATAGTTTAGTAGTGTACACGACTAAAGCCCTAAATTTTATTTGACAAAAAAATGTTGTATGCCCATATATAGTCATGATGTGCTTATATACGGTCATGATGTGATGTCATTCAGGCATGTCACATGTGTTTTACAACAGACTATCAAATGTATTTGACAAAAAAACTGTTGAATGCCATATATAGTCATGCTGCACCTATATATGGTCATGATGTGATGCCATCATGACCATATTTAGGCATATCACTTGTTTATATCAATAAAATGTGATAGTCTGGGTAGGGCTTAGATATTTGAACTTTATCTAGACTACAGTACGGTATGATGCACTATGATGAAATATTTCATCTTCTATACAATGATTACCAGTAAAGAAAAATTGACAAATCAGTAGCGATTCAAAAAACCTGATGAGTTATTGATGATATTACAGCAATTTAAAGTAAAGTAACTATCCAATATTGTGTTTAATCATGCATATTAAAAAAAACTCTCAGCATATCTAGACTACAGTATGGTATGATGCACTATAAAAATGCAGAATTTGGTTGACTGACTGAGTGGCTGGTTGATTGAATGATTGGTTATTAAATTGCACTTTAATTTTTAATCCAATATAAAGTGTATATTTTACAGGCTATACAGTAACTTGACACTGACTCTCTTTAATATTCAATAAATTATGATATTATCGTAATTACACTAAATATTCAACCAATTAAATTATAGATAAATGCTCATTAGTAGTAACAGAAATATTTCATCTTTTATACAATGATTACCCGTAAAAAGAAAATTGACAAATCAGTAACGATTCAAAAAACCTGATGAGTTATTGATGATATTATAGCAATTTAAAGTAAAGTGACTATCCAATATTGTGTTTAATCACGCATATTAAAAAAAACTCCCAGCATAGATAAATGTAAGTATAAAATAATAGTAATTTACTAATGGATGACATTCAAAGGACAAGGTCAATTTGGGGTCAATTATAGCTTCAACATACTTTCTCTCCAATTCTCTGTAGGCTTGAACCAACCACTTCAAGGAGGGTCTATTGCTCTGTGTGAGCCCATACTGGAATACCACTAGAGTATAATCGTTCTCCACATATTGATTTAGTGTATACTGCAGAAACCTATAAAAAAAACAAAAAACACATCAAATATAAATTTAAATGTCACGGAAAGGGATTCGATTCCCACCTGTATTACATTCAACTGATTGGAATAAAGTATTCATAGCAGGTAAATGTGGAAAAAAACACATTTTATCCCCTCCAACATATAATTTATGTTGATGTTACACCTAACCTTGAATTTCCTATAAATGAGGGGTGACGTGCATTGTGTAAATGTCTGTGAGGATACTTAGTTCACAATAATCATGGTAACTTTCCTTTTTAAGTGCTTTGAGCACACTATTTCAGTGGTTAACTTTTTTTTGTTGAATCACATTCAATTATCAAAATAATTATTGAATATTTTAGTACTCTACATACACACACCACACTTTATACATTTCTGAATTGGTAAATGTACATTGCCATTAAAACCAAATGAAGTCATACTTCCATATTTCGTGTATACAGCTACTGTATATTGTACTCATAGTTATTACATGAGCTAGTTAGAACATTTGCGTATGTTCACATGATAATGGCTACACTGGCACAAGAGCAGTACAGTGCCAGGATTGGCTAAATCAGCATCATGTGACAGCGGTATTGTTTGATGAATTTGACAACACAATTTAATTTTAGCAACACATTTCCATCCCATGCTATTCAATCCAATACACCTCCGAAACATCAGACATGTAAGAAGGTACATTCCAACCGATTCCTACTATACAGAAGACACTGCATGCTATTTTGTATGCCAGACTTGACTATGCAATGCCCTTGTGTTTAGACTTCCAGCAACAAAAAATCAATATCATCTACAACTTGGACAGAACTCCTGTAATTAGCATTGACCATCCTACTTTTAATTACGAAATTTGATGATAAACAGGTTGCTTTTTGATTGAATTATTGACTGATTAAAATGAATGGATGATATGTGTTTCACTGTTCTTATAAACTATTGCAGTGATTATATTTGTAAAGCTTATTTTGTTTAAATCTAATATATATCATGGAGGAATAAGTTTACATATTCCTGAATTTCTTAGTACTATAGACCTACAATACTACTCATAACCTAGTATAAAGAGAAGTGATTCTTACAGTATTTGACTATTTTCAGACTTATTTACACTGCATACACTACCATACTTTTGGATTATGAAATCAATAAAAATTGGTTTGATAAATCAACCAGTTCTGGTATGACATACCTCTCCAGCAAGTAGAGTAACCATAGCAACAAAACTAATAATATATACCATGTTTTATATTCAGATCAATCAATTTTACAATGGCTGCAGATAAATCTTTGCGAAGAAGATTGAAATGAAGATTAACTCTTAATCTCCATAATAATTAATCCCACACCTCTATACATTTAATTTGTTATAACAAGATTTAAGATGTATAGGCCTAATAACTGTTAGCATTTCTACAGCCTTTTCATGGTATAATAGTAAATGTTGAATTTTTTATGGTTGCATTCACAATGTTCACATAAAATAACTACTACATGCAAATTAATATTTTTTTAATTAATATTTGTTTAATTAACATTTTTATCAAATCTCTTTGATTCAATCATTTACTGTAATCATAATTGTAAATTCTGCAAAATTATAATGATCAGCTATGAATATTTATGTACATCATGACTTAACATTAAGAACTCACATAAATATTTACCAATATTTATATCAAAATTTAGAAATATGCGCCCCCTTACCCTAACAGGCGTGTTTGATTATATTCCTTATTTGACGGTAAGTTGGAGCAGAAAAACAGAATCAACTTGCGACCCACTCTATCATCACCTAAAAAACAAAGTGTAAAACAAATTATCATTCAAAAAATTACCATATAGTGCCAGTAATATGCTAATTCTATGCCAAAGTATAATTGTAAAGCTGGAAAAAATTGGAAAAAATTAAAAATTTAAAAACAATATATGAGGCAGCAGGAAGCAAAGAAGCAGGTACACTATGGGACTAATTTAATTTGCCATTTATCAGCGATATTTTACACTGTAATAAAATGTTGGTCTAATATTTCATCATGCCTCCATATGTTTCACATTAATGATGATAATAATAATAGGTAGATTTATAAAGCGCAAATAAATAAGGTCTCTATTAAGCGCCAAAACATTATGACCACATCACTGGATATCAATGGAACATATACGCGGCACTTATCATCCTCAAGTGCATTGGTTTTCAAACTTAACGATATTGCAAAGAGTAGTCCAAGGGGAAAATATGGAGCAATATCAAAGAGATGTTTATTATTATTAATGGCTAAGCTTCATTTATAACAGATGAGGATACAAAGCATTATAATTAATACAGAATTTTAACGCTGGCATCATGGAAAGTAAATCGTTGTGTCTGAACACCATGACCAGTTATGCCGCGGATTAGTGTACGCCTGGCGTTAGTTAAGCTACTGTTATTCCGTGAGTCTGAACATAGCCTTAGGAAAAACGATGTCTTGTATCTTTGTTTATCTTTATATATTTTTCCGACAAGCCAAATGACTTACAAGGAAGCACTGTGTATGATTATAAATAACAATCTGAATCATAGTATTGTGAAGTAAGTTCAAAGGCCAATTTTACTATACAATTTTTTACAGTATTGTGGTAAACCTCAAAATGAGATCATTTATTGTATCAAAAAGTACAAACACTAAACACTGTGATTTAAATAACTTGACCACCAGCGTGATGAAGTACAGTATAATAATGACATAGAAAATATACTGGCAGTACGCAGGTTACTATCAGGCAAAAAAAAAAAAAAAAAAAATGATTGTGTTGGCCAAGCCTGACTGACACAAATCTTAAGAAATTAAGGGTCGGAATTTTAGTTTTTAACGAACAATAATTTTTTATGAACAAATAAGGCTGGAATAGCCTTGGCGATACTTGGAGACCAAGGTTAGCCTGTTTTGCTGGATGATACGTGATGCGAATCCAAAAATGTTTTTATTATTTGTGTATTTTCTACTTTTTAGGCGTAAATACAATTTGATTGTGAAAAAAAAAATTTCCTACCAAACTTACCCATTTTTTGGATTTTCCCAAAACATGGCCAACAAAATTTTTTTTTTTTTTTGGACCTTAACTTATTCCTCCAAGGTTTAGGTCAGTTATTATAACTGGGTACAGTATGGGTCCCTAGTATGACATAAATCGCCTAATGCACTCTCCCAAGCAAGTAAAATTCTCCCAGAAACTAACCTATTTATTTACTACTAATTTGGGCTAGTCTATATTAAGATCACAATATAGACGAATTTGGGCTAGTCAATATTGTGACCTTAAAATATTCAATATTTTATTAAATATTTTTTTTCAACTATCCTTTGAGAGGGTGGCTCTAACAACAATGCTGAATTAAAGAGGGCCTCTATAAAATTATGTTTTATAATACTACTCCAACATGCCACAATTAATAAAATATTTAATGTATATTTTTATTAGGTCAATTAATACAGAAATCTATCAATGGTTGTCCTGAGGACCATTCGCAATAAAAAGTTTAACATTATGAGATGCTTAGAGTATAGTTAAAGTTACTGTAATTTAAGGGTGAAATAAAATATCTTATTATTTATTTATTTAATATTTTTATTTTTATTTTTATTTCCTTCACATTCAACAGCAAATACACTCTTCACATTACAGGATGGAACAATGCTTTATCAACCAAGTCTCTTATTCAGGCCTAGAGAGTGGAGCTGTTTTTATTCTTGCGAAAAAAATTCCTGCTCTAACAGGAATTGAACCCATGACCCTAGGATTAGAAGGCAAGCATCTTAACCACTAATTGAACTCCAATCAATCACTTCTATTACTAGAATGAGCGCAGGGCTGTACCTAGCTTCAAATAAGCTGGTCCCCTAATCTCCCTGAAATTTATTTACTTATTATCCTCATCCAACGGCAAAGACATAATTCACAACTTACTGGTGGGAACAAAATATCACCCTTTTATACCCTACCCCTATGCCTATCACAAAAGATGTTACGAAACTGCATGATTAGGAGTAAATACTATTATAAACAAATTATGTTTCTGCTTACATAATGAAAGCTATAAAAACAGTACATAAACAGATTCAAATAATCAGTTTTCTAGTTTGAGTTTAGAAACTACCTTGGATCAGATGAATAATTTACGCTTAATTTACCCTTAAAACTAAATAAATAATGAGCTTACTAAATTCTGACTCCTATAAACCATAAATAAATAATTCATGAGGTTAATATTGACCCCTAACCATAAATAATTCTTGAAATTTAAATAGAGCCAAACATAATTGACCCCTAGCCCTAAATGAATAATTCTTAAATTTTATTGACCCAAACATAAAGTATTAATCGCTGAACTGAATATTGACTCATAACCTTAAACCTAATATTATTTAACAGTTAGTGAACAACCAATATTGAAATTATAATAATGACCAAACTTGCCCATTATTGCAAATGGCTACGAACAAAAAATGGTTAATTATTCTTTTAACAATAATGTTATACAGTAAATGAAAATAATTAGTACAAAAATGAATACACTGAATTTATCATGCAACTACTCAATGATTAAATAAGCATGTTATTTGTAATTTGTTATTAATTTTGTTTATTTTGTATTGTACAAATTTTTATACAAGCCTGAATGTGGTGATGATTTATCACTGTTGGATTCTGAAATAAATTATTATTTTGTTTTTAATCAATAAATTAATGAATGCACATTATTACGGAATGAATACTGTATATTCCTGATTAATTTTCCCATTCAAAGACAACACAATAAATCTTGTTTAGCCTGATTATTCTTGTTTAAGTTCTAAGTAGGCAACCAACTATTTAAAATGGAGACACATGAAGCAGAAACAAAACCATTTGCATTACCTCATGAATACCGTTGCATGATTAATACAGAAGATCGTAACAATTAGTTCTTTAGCCTATCTTCCACTAGGCAAATATATTCACACGAATCAAAAGCATCGGTTCGCTCCCTGAGCTGTGATTGGTTGCATATTTTCCCGCTCCGCAAAAAAGTAGAACCATTTCGAACTACAGATTTTGCTGAACCAAAAAACTCCAAAAGAAATGTGAATGCACATAAACTGACGCTTTTCGAGTCGCATGAATAAATTCGCCTAGTGGAAATTAAATAGACTTTAAGAGGGGGTTTTCTATGAATGAAAGCCAGAGGTTCAGGAGACACCAGAGCCGTAGATAGAGAGAGTTTGGCCAACTCGGTTTCACAGGATTCTGCTATACGCGCATATGATTGGGTGGATTGCAATCACATGACAATACACCGGCCATGTTTTCACCAAAACAAAACATTGGCGAGCCACAAACTAACGCAATAGGATATATTAAAATCCCATAATTGAATTGTCCTCATGAACAGAATAATAAAATAAAGTTTATGCAACATCAGTGTTATAAAGTGTTATACATGTGCATGCTGTTTGGTAACAACATGGCGCCACACGGCAAGTTGGCCAAACTCTCTCTCTACGCCTCTGGGAGACACAATAGTAGTACGCCCTCATGGGTCCAGGGAATATCTCTTGTGGGAGTCAGGGAACTAAACCTCTTGAGCTGAAGGGGTAATATTTTTTTATAATCATCATTATTATTTTAACAAGAAAATTGTAAACATCATCATTTGTGATGGTTTTTAATACAAGAGAAGGAAAATGGAATGTCATATACTATACCACGTACTTCCTACTTTAAACCCTCAAACAAATCCGTTATTGGCACTATAGGCTCACAAGTATAAAATCCATCATAACAGATTGGGATAATTATTTTTCAAGTTGGCAATTTTAAACAAGGATATTTCAATATTAATGTCTCTTTATAGTGTTATCAACATTTTAATGCAATAAAATGAAACTTCAACTCAAAGAAGTTGTAACATTATGTATTTGATTGATGTAGTAGCACTGAGTGTTTAATTATACCTCCATACTTTAACCAGTGGTTGGCTGATTGACTTATGTTTATTTGCTTGATTGACTGATGATTGACTTGTTCATTGATAGGTACATTCTAGGCTGAATAATTATTTAGTGGTCAGTGTAGTCATGGTGTAGTGTAGTATGATGATTCAGAGACTAGTCAGTGGTTGACTGATAAGAAATTGTTAGCGGTTTAAATTGTTGGTGGTTAGTGGTTTATTGATTAATTGACTACTATGGTTTAATAGTGGATAATTAATTGGTCTTCCGTTGGTTGTTCTGAGGCTGACTTGATTACTTGGTGACAGATTGATTATTGATTGGTTGCAGTGGCGTATCTCCCCACCTTTGAAAATGTTCCCCCTCACTTAATCATCAAGCTCCCACTTCACCTTCGTTCCCCCATAACCCTTTCAGGGCCCTCCACCCTTTCAAGACTCTTAGATTAGTTGGTAGTTTAGAGGTTGATTTAGTTGCTAAGGAACAAACTGATTAGCAGCTGATTGACTGAAGGATTATTATTTACTGTATTAATAGTACAGTAATGGCCTGTGTTTAGTTGGCTGTAAGGATAACCAGTCTTTGGTTCAGCAATACTAAGTCCAACAATATTAGTGTGCAGGTAATAAGATCGAATGTTTCATTTTATAACTTTTACTTACTACCTCATTATTTTGAGTTAATTGATTTATCATTATTTACCTCCAACTTGTATTATACCATATTTGGCAATATCCTCAAACATGTCCTCCTCAACATCGGTGCTAACATTACCCTGCATGTCTGTGTCGTCAGTGTCCTCGTCTAGCCACTCCTGAGCACTTGCTTCCTCATCTGAGTGGAATTCTGGGATATAAATGGACAGATATTGATTAATATCATAACCATATATTGTATCAATTACTGCATGTCTTACAGTAGAGCAAAAAAAAAAAAAAAAAAAATTATTTGTCATCGAGATTGGTTGATTTTTCATGAATGATATACAGTATTCAATAATTCCGGTAGATGGATTTATTATTTACTAGGCCCTACCAGGGCCTAGTTATATTATTATTGCTTACTATTTCTTAAATTAAAAAAAAAAAAACTTTGTTCAAGATTGAGAATTTATACACAGGGAGAGGAATATGGAGTTAAGCCTAGGCCTAATATCTATCATCATTATCCCAGATGGCTGAGGCTATCGGCACTGCCGCAGTGCGAAAAAAAGCTGCTGTTTTCTATCGGCACTGCCGCAGTGCCAAAAAGCTGCTGTTTTCTATCAGCACTGCCGCAGTGCCAAAAAGCTGCTGTTTTCTATCAGCACTGCCACAGTGCGAAAGAAAAGCTGTTATTTTCTATCGGCATTATTGCCGCAGTGCGAAAATTAGCTCAGATTTTCTATCGGCAATGCCGCAGTGCCAAAACACTGCAGTTTTCTATCGGCACTGCCACTCGAAAAGCTGCTGTTTAATTATCAAATGGATTTTTTTTATCTACAGATTATGGTATCAATAATTGGTTAGGTCTAGCCTAGCCTTTAATATTGTTAACATTATATTATATATGTTTTACAATTAATTTATAATTATTTCTAATTATTAAATATATACATAGCCTATATATAGGCCCATACATAAAACAAAAAATAAAACAACAAAAATCCGATTAGAATGACAAAATAAACTCTAAGCATCCACCGGAAGGAATCCCAATATCTGCAGACGGATCCGTTTCGGCCTTCCAGACCTCATCAGTGCAGCTAGGGTATAGACCCAAACGAAACGTTCGACCATCTTAGGTAGGGCCCAAAACTATTCCCACGACCACTATATATATATATATATATATATATATATATAATAATTTAATATTTTTTTGAAACAGAATAAAATAGGTAAAATTTTATTGAAAAAAAAATCAAACAAATTTTACATTTACGACGTATTGTTGATTTAATATTCTGAATCATTATTAATGGAATATAGGCCTACCTATTATATTTCTATAACTTAATCAACAATTATCTCATTAATCACATTATCGTAAATAGGCCTATTG